AAAAAAAAAAAAGGGAGTTTCCTAGTGATTATTTCTGAAACTTTTCCCCCTTCTTGTTGTTTTCATTGCTTTCCCATAGAGGCTAAACTGAATTAACGCGGCTGATTTTAAAAATTGTCAGCTTTTTTTTAAACGAAGGAAAACACCAGGGATTTTTTCATTTATTTACTTAAGTATTTCCATGAAGTGTTTGCAATATAAACACTGCAGTATTGTGTTAATGCATGAGAACCAAAAAGTGGAGCTGGCTTATCTGTTTTCACTTGATAAGCTGAATGAAGCAGAAAATAAATGGAACAAATTAAATTTCAGATTACCATGTTACTGAGATGGTAGATGAACATTGAGTTACAGGAGTTTTAGTATTCTGGGTAGCTAGTGTTAAGATTTTAGTTGAACATTATTATATTCACATATATAATACCTTTGGGTAGTATAAATTAAATTTCATTACATTTATAATGTAGCCTCTATAAAATTTAAAAATTATCTTGTATTTAGTTATATGATTAAGTTAAATAGTATAATTTAACTTTATAGGTATAGAAATATTTTTATAAAGTATATCTTTAATTATGATTTTATTTCCAAGTAATTTACTATTTTAGATTTTATATATATAAAATGAAATTGATACTTAATTTTAATGTCTTGCTTTTATTAGCCAAATTACTGTGGGACCTTGCTATATAAGTAAGTTTGTTATTGAATGTAATTCTGTGTGAGACAAATCTGTTTTCAAAGGTATTTAGTTTGAATGGCTTACAAATGTAATAGTAATAATAGCTGTTTATATTAAGACTAAAAAGCAGTTTTTGTTTCTGCTAATTTATTTGATATTCACAACTTTTTTTACAGTAGCTAGGACAGGCGTTCTTATTAATTCTGTTTTATTGATGATTAAGCTGAGATCAGAGAAGCTAAGAGTTTTGTATAGGGTCATTTTAAGGAAGTGTGGCACATCAAGCATTGGAACCAAGATTTCTTAATCTAAATCACTTGTTTTCTATCATACCGATTAGTCACTTAACCTTTCTTCTGTAGTGGGGAAAAATAGTTACTGCCTCATGTGCTTTGATCATTGATGCTACTCTTTGGGCGTGGTAGAGGTGCGGGAATATTTAGTGTTCGTGAAGGAGATACTTAAACTCCTTAAAACGTTTCTTAAAAGTTATATTTTCAGCTCTAAGAGGCCTTTTGCCTCATAAAACAAATTTGAGGTAGCTTTATTATTTTATAAGGGAAAAGAATATTTGGCAAAAATGTAACATCTTTTAGCACTTATAAAACATAATTAAGGGTTTGCTACAACTTACAAAGTCCCAGCTGAAATATTATCAGGATATAGTGATGTGCTAGTAGTTGACGTTTCTACTAAAAAATATAGGAAAAGTTGATGAATCTTTGTAATTAACATTTTCTTTAGTTGTCATGTTCATTTTTGTTGACTTCTGGGCTTCAGAAGTATGTTCAGTCAGGAAATTGACCTTATTTGTAGGGTAAATTTGAGGTACTTCTGAAATTTCTTACTAAATAATTCAGTTACTATTTTTCTATAGCTTGATTTGGAATAACTTCAGTATGTGTTTATAAGGGCTTCCTTGTAGGAAAAAAAGAACTTCAAGTTGGTAAAACATGTTGATAGTTATTGGAATGTTTGCAGTGATTTTTTTTTAAGTGTTTTTATTGATTTTGTAGGGAGAGGAAGAGAGAGATAGAAACATCAATGAGAGAGAATCATCAGTTGGCTGCCTCCTGCATGCCCCCAACTGGGGATTGAGTCCGAAACCCAGGCCTGTGCCCTGATTAGAAATTAAACCGGTGACCTCTCAGTCCATGGGACGATGTTCAGTCCACTGAGACACACCAGCCAGGCTTGATCATTTATTTAATTAAGATAATTAGTAACTTAATTATTATGCAGCTTGCTGCATACATTTCTCTAGGAATTAAAAGTATAAAAATGAAATTTTAATTATAAAAGTAACATATTTATGGAAAAATTTTAATAGTATGTAAAATTTCTAAAATCTTTTGCCCATTTGTGTTTCATTTTTTTAATAGACATTATTTTTTTAAAAGTTTTAGATTTACAGAAAAATTGAGAAGATACTACAGAGAGTTTCCATATACTCTTATATCTAGTGTTTCCTATTTATTGACACCTTACATTAGTATACATTTTTCCACCTTTTGTTCAGGTAGAGTGGGAGAGAGAGAGAGAGAGAAACATCGACGTGAGAGGGACACATCGAGTGGCTGCCACCCGCACAACCGACCAGGGCCGGGGACAAACTGCAACCGAGGTACACGCCCTTAGCGGGAACCGAACCCGGGTCTCTCAGGACCGCAGACTAACACTCTAACCGCTGAGCCAAACCGGCCAGGGCAGGATCCTATCATATTTAATTGTGATGTCTCTTTAGGCCTTCCTTGGTTGTGATAGTTTCTCAAATTTCCTCATTTTTTATGACTTTGACAATTTAAGGAGTATTAGCTAGGCATTTTGTAGGATATATCTTGATTAAAATTTGTCTGTTTTTCTCACGATTAGACTGGAGTTATGGGATGTTGGGAGGAAGTTAATAGATGTAAAGTGCCATTTTTATCACATCACATCAAGATACTGACTATGAACATGACTTAATCACTGTTGATGTTAACCATAATCACCCGTCTTTAGTAGTTGTTAAGTTTCTTTACTCTGAAATTACTCTTTTTGTCTTTCCTTCCATACTCGACTCTTTGGAGGGAAGTCACTATGCACATGCTTCACCTCTTTGTGGACAAAATATGTCAATTATTAGGAATTCTTCTATACAAGAGATTGATTCTTCTCTTTCATTTATTTATTCAGTATTTATTTGTATCAGTATGGACTCATGGGTATTTACTTTATAATTTGGGTTATAATCTAGTATTACTTTATTTATTTGTTGTTCAAATTGTTTCACCTTCGGCCTTTGGGAGCCCTTTTAATTGGCTCCTGTGCACTCTTGGCATACCTCTTCAATATGAGGGTTTGTTTCTTTCAAGCTCTTACTTTCTGGCACTACAGGATGCTCCTAACTCGTCTATTTCCTGCCCCAGTCCTAGTACTGACCATTTCTTTAAGGAGCCTTGGTTCCTTTTTTTGGATAATGATATTAGAAACTAAGATCAGGGTGCTTGGTGTGTTTGTTGTTACTGGAGTATCATTTCTCTTAGGCCCCCTCAGCTGACAAAGCAAAGAAATGTGTGTATACCAATCTGTTTACTAACATATATCTATAAATATTTCTGTATGTAGCCACCTATATATACCTCTATTAAGCTAAACATGAATTCTTACTGAAGTATCCAACTCTAATCCATCACTGCATGTATCATTATAGCCTGCTTAATTGTAAATTTCCACTCCAACATTGAGACACCTGGCTTCTACCATCCACCATTCATTTACTCAGTTGTTCAGTTCCAGTATACATGTATAATAGTATCATAATTGTTAGCCTGAACCCTCATTGTCAACTAGAGTACAGACAATATTTATGTGCATTTTCTTTGCCTTTAGTCTTACAGACTGTTCATTTCCAAGACTACTTAGGCCAGCACCTGATACCCTGGATGTTTTGTGTTTTTTTTCCTATCAAAATTTGTTGGTTGAATTAGTCAGATTTTCTCTTGAAGACACTTTGTTCTCTCTGCTTCCATCACTGCCTTAAATATTTTTCTGTGCCTCTTCTTAGAATATTCTTTGCCCTGATATACACACTCCCAGTCTTGTCTGTTCTTCGTATCCTACATATTTTTCTCTCTTAATAATGCTATTAATGAATGGAATATTTGATGGATGATGGTAGACTTTCTTGTTTTTGGTTTTTATCCCCTACACAGTTTTTTTTCCCCTAGTGATTATCTTTTAACATTTCCGCGGAGGGGAATTATATAATTATAAAATGACACTATTTAAAAATGTATTTTGATTGTTTTTTAAAGCTATTTCAGTAGGGAAGCAGTATAATATTAAGAGTGTGGCTTCTCACCCTGGCTGGTGTGGCCCAATTGGTTGGGCATCATCCTGTGCACCGAAAGGTTGCCGGTTTGATTCCTGGTCAGGGCACATGCCCAGGTTGTGGAGGCAGCCAGTCAGTGTTACTCTCTCTCTCTCTCCTCCCTTCCTCTCTCTCGAAAAGTCAATAAAAATATTTTTTTAAAAAGAGTGTGGCTTCTAGAATTACAATCCATGATTTAAATTCTGGTTTCACAGATTTAGTAACTTGGTGAATTTAGGTGTGACTCAGTTTTCTCGTCTGTGCAATAGAAATTTTAAAATTATCTGCCTGTTAGGATTGATGTGGACATTACATGAGGTAGTATCATTTAAGCCCTTTAGCAGTGCCTTGCACATAGGAAACTCTTAGTAAATGTTAACTATTATAAAACACTAGTACTCTGAAAGGTTACCAAAAGGAAAATTATCTTGAAGCACCGTATTTAAGCTGGTTGTCTTTTAAAACTTTTGAGGATTATTTCAGGGGTTTTAAAGGTTATAGGGTGATTTTACTTTTTTGTTTTCCCAGGATGGTAATCCAGGAATGTGCCTGTAAGTGTTGTCATGATTATGACTAGCACCCCTGTTTTCATTAGCTTAGAGTATTCTGGTCTGAATGATAAATTATATATTCTTGAATATTGGTTAAGATATCAGACATTGTACAGCTTTAACTCTGTTAATATATGTATTAAAAAGTATATTAGACTAATATTGCTAAATTGACCATAACTGTAAGAGTCTTGAAATCCTTAATCAATTAAAATGATTAAAGTTTTTTTGAAGTCTATACATATAAATGTTATATAGTTGCAATGGTAAGAAGAGAAGTGAAAATATTAGTAGGCAAAAATTGTGGAGCCAGTGCTTCTAGTTGAAATATGCTTCAGAATGATCTTTCATAATTTAGATTCCTGAAACTTGGTTTTGGAACCAAATTAAAAATTTTTTCTTTTTCTTTTTTAAGACTCTTTTAAAGAAGTCATTTATATACGTCTGGATGAACTTCTCTGTGTGTTAAAGTCTGTAATGAATAAACATCAGAACCTCAATTCTGTTGACCTTCAAAATGCTGTAGAAATGCTTACTGCAAAAGTAAAAGGTAAGAAAAATATACTAAAAGTGGGTTGGTGAGGGCAAAAAAGATCCAAGTGATACATTTTCATTCGGAATCACTATAGAGCCATTTCTTCTCGTGGCACTTGTATGATGTATATTATTAATAGGAGCTATGTGTACTTCAATGTTTACTATTCCCACTGTCATACCTAAAACTTTTTTTTTCTTTATTGATTTTAGAGAGAGAGGAAGGGGGAGGGAGAGAGAGATAGAAACATCAATGAGAGAGAACATCTTTTGGCCCCCTCCTACATGACCCCACTGGGGATTGGGCTCACAACCTGGACATGTGCCCTGACCGGGAATCGAACCGGCGACCTCTTGGTGCATGGGTCGACACTCAACCACTGAGTTAACACCGGCCGGGTCTAAAACTCTCTTAAAAGATTGAAACTTGATTTGGCAGAAAACACTAAAAATACTAACTTAAATAAACGAAACAACTGATGTTTAAAAAGTTTGAATTTTTTGGAAGTGTCCATGCTCTTTGGAAGTTTGCTATTAGAATACAAATAGTCTTTGTTGTGTGCTAGGGCAGTTGGTGCTAGAAAAGTTGACTCAACTTAAAATACGGAACCAAATGGAGAAAAAGGAGACTTAATTGGGACATAATTAATGTGTGAAAAATGAAACTAAAATTGTAAAATAAGTCTTACCATGTATGTATATGTGTATATGTGTGTGTGTGTGTGTGTGTGTGAAAAATGTGTGCTAAAAGAATCAAGAATTGGGACATTATCCTGTGATGAAATGACTTGCCACCCCAAAGTAGTAGAATCTGTTATTCTGGGTTACAGTCTGTAAGAAGGATTGAGGGTAAAGGTAGTATAGGAGAAAAAATAAGACTGGAGGCATAGAATTTATTTAGGAGATTGTTAGAAATAATAAGCTAGCTCTGGCGGTTAGAGCGTCGGCCTGCGGTCCAGAGAGACCCAGGTTCGGTTCCCCCTAAGGGCACGTACCTTGGTTGCAGTTTGTCCCCGGCCCTGGTTGGGTCGTGTGTGGCAACCACTTGATGTGTCCCTTTCACGTTGATGTTTCTCTCTCTCTCTCTTCCCCTCCCACTCTATCTGAATATCGAAAAAATGTCCTCGGGTGAGGATAAAAAAAAAAGAGAATAAGCTAGATGAGGGTTGACAATCTGATCTAAGACGGAAGCTGATATGTGGCAAAAGTGGAATATGGTGGTTATATGGTTGGGATGGATGTTGATTTGATGAATATTGGGGGTTAAGTTGGAGTTTAGAGTTGAAGATACAGACTTGAGGTGTTGATCTGGAAGTGGTGATGGAAGAGTACAACACCAGCTCAGGGTGTGCAGAGAAAATAGAGGACTGAGTATGAGATCCCAGAGACAGAAGATAGAGGAACCAGAGAAACACCTAGCAAGTAAGGAGATGATTTGGAGAAGGTTCTAAGAAGTGATCTTCATTGTTAAAGGTCACTGATAGGTGATATGAATTCAAGTAATATAACTATAAAAAGCAACTCCCCATGTATTGAATAAGGAAAGGAAAGGCTAGGCTTCATTGTGGAGCAGAATGACCTGTCCTGCATCTCAAAGGTCAAGTAGGCATTAACTGGGCTAGAGGGTAGTATTAGAGACTATGATACAGGGCACTTGTACAAAAACTCTGGATGTTGAAGAACATGATGTGTAATTGGTGAACACATTCATATCTAGAGAGTACAAATGGCAAGTGTCAAGGGATGAGGCAGGAAAAGCAAAAAAATCTTTTTTTTTTAATTCTCACCCGAGGACATTTTTCCATTTTTTGTTCAGATAGAGTGGGAGGGAGGGAGAGGAAGAGAGAGAGAGAGAAACATCGACATGAAAGGGACATGTCCAGTGGCTGCCACCCGCACGACCCAACCAGGGCCGGGGACAAACTGCAACCGAGGTACGTGCCCTTAGTGGGAACCGAACCCGTGTCTCTCTGGACCGCAGGCTGACGCTCTAATCGCTGAGCCAAACCGGCCAGGGCGCAAAAAAATATTTTCAATAAAACAGTTTATATGCTCTTGAACTGCCTTCTCTACTTTTGACAGACTCATTAATATTTGTGTGGTTCTCTTTTTCTGTATTTCAAGCACTTAAAAAAAAGTAGATGGATTTAAATGGGGAAAAAATGAATAACTTCTGTTGGAACTTTTAAAAATTTGCTTAGTAACCAAATTTGTTTTTAAATAGACTGTTTATAAGTGCCATTTAACTTAGATAGGGAAATTTGTGTCTATAGATAGTAAAATTTCCATGCTTGGAAATAGCAACCACAGTTCATTCAATTGTTGTCAGTAGCTATTGTGTGCAGTCAGGATGTCCTGGGGAAGGAGTGTGCCTGTGCATAGTTGGTGTCCACATTCCAGAAACAGACTGGAAGAAAGTAGCCTCTCAGCTGCCTTGAAGGTCGTTTTTCTTTTTTCTTTTTGAGATAAAGCAGTCTTTTGAATATTATTACCCACTATGACTGTCTTTACCCTTGTGATTATTGTTAGGATTTTACTTTTGTGTTGGATGAAATTTAAAAGATTACATTGTCGGGAACCTTATTCTGGTTCAGTAGGATTCCTTGAGACTGGAGACTAGAAAATTTTAAAAATTACTTTTTATTTGGTGTAAGTTTGTTTTTAAATACCCACACACACACTCACACACATTCTCTCTCTCTGTCTCTCTGTCTCTCTGTCTCTCTCTCTCATTCTTGAGGTCATCTAAAAGTATCAGTGATACCCCAAGTGAAAAATACTCAATGACCTAAAAAAATTGAGGTCACATCAGAGTTTATTTAATTACTTTATTTGATGATAATTTTATTTTCCAACTCTGGAAAGGCAAGGGAGAAATAGAAACCATTTTGAATGTCTATTCCGTGGCAATCTGATTTTTTAAGCTATTTTAATATTTTCAAAAATCTATACAGGTACATTTTAATTTCTATTTTAAAGAGGAAAACTGTTGCATGAGAAAGTTTCAGGAGTGTGGAGATTATCTCCCCCGATTACATTTAGAAAACAACTGTGACCTGCCTTGCTTTGGAGGTCTTAATTGTCAAATACATTTTACAAATATACCAAACCATAAAAAAATTCCATGTAAATGCAGAACAACTTTAGAATCAGAGAGGTATAATCTTGTTTGTGCTACTGCAGATAATGAATGCATGAAATCCATCCACTTCTAGTAAGCATAATAAGTGAGAAACTGGACTCTGACTCCTCTTATTTTGTATGTGAAATTTACCTTTTAATAACTTTAAAAGAAGTCTCCTTAGCTCTTTCCCATTCATTCTAGTAGTGATTTGTATTTCCTGTGTCTCCTCCTGTTTCCAAGCAGGAAGTTCAGTCTGACAAAATATTTAGAATATGGTAAGAGAGATACACCCTATTTTTGAAGTAGATAAAGACATATTCAGCATGTAATAATTTATTTTATGTTTTTGTGTTTTCATTAATATTTGCAATTATTTTGGTTTCATTTGTACTATAAATTAAAAGGACTTATTTATTTAGGTTTTTCATGATCTGTGTTTGGCCTGTATTTAAAAATTGTTAAATGAAAAAGAAAAATAAGCATTACTGACACATCCAAAATTATAGAAGCCTCATATTTTCTTCATTTTGAAAAATTAGTTTTTAATAGACAATTCATTTACACAGTTTATAATGGAAATAGTAAAAAAGAGTATTCAACGGTAAAGTTTTCTACCTCAGATACTTAGCCACCCATTCCTTTCCCTAGATAAGCAGCAGCTGTTACTGTTCTTTGCATATCTTATTACGCATATGTAAGCAAATATAGTATGTTCTTTTTTGTCCTTTTTGCACAAATGGTAGCATTCTGCTCCTTGCTTATTGTTCTAAGTTATCTGTACATAAAGGGTTTCCTTATTCTTTTGTTGTTGTTTGTTTTATTTTTCCAAAGCTTCATGGTAATCCAATATATTGATGTATTATAATATATTTCACCAGTTCACTACTAATAGATGTTTGGATTGTTTCTAATTTTTTTCTGTTACAGACAATGCTTTAATGAGTACCTATGTAAATTCTTAGATGAGTAGTTACTGGATCAAAGAGTGTGTGCCTTTATATTTTGGGTGTTGCCAAATGCCCTGTGTATAGGTTTCCCCTTCTGATAGCAGTGCTGAAAAGGCTGATTTTCTGCACCTTTTCCAACAGAGCTGGTTATAAAACTTTGTTATCCAGTCTTTGTATACCCAGTTATAGTAAAAATTGATATCTCAGTATAGATTTGATTTGTATTTTTCTCATTTTGAGTTCAGTTAAGTATCTTTTTATATGTTTCAGAGCCATTTTGTACATCCTTTTATGTGAATTGACCCTTTGTACATTTTTTTTTAGTATTTATTGTACAAAGTCTGTGAAAGTGAACCTAATCTTTGATATAAGTTGAAGATTTTCTTTAGTTTGTTTATCTTTCATTTGCATATAGTTTTTATTTTTACATTTAAATTTGTCAATCATTTGTCTTTCTTTGGTTTTAGAAATTAGGAAGGGCTTCTCTGCTCTGAGATTGTAATAGCATTCTCTAGTGTTTTTTTTCCTAATGTTTTTATGCTGTCATTTATTAAATTACTATTTGATATGTTCTAGAGTATCTCTGTCTAGCTAATTTATCAAATAATTCTTTTCCCATTGATTTGTGATGCCATCTTTGTCATAAATGCACTAAATTTTTACATAGATTTATATCTATTTCTAGTCCTTTTTGTGTCCCATTGATTTGTTTAGTCATGTGCCAATACTGTCTTTGTTGTAGTTTTACAGTATGTTTTAGTATCTGGTAAGCGTAACTCCTCTTTCCATTACTCTTTTTGTTCAGGATATATTTTTCCATGAAGATATTTGAATTGGCTTGTCTAGTTCCAAAAAATATCTTGGTATTTGAGAGTGATTTGAGTTGAATTTATAAATTAAATTAAGGACAATTTATGTACTTAGAATTTCTGTCTGAGAATATAG